CAACAAGTTTATGAAGCTCTCGAATTGTTGAAAAAACAAGTGTCAAAAATTTTGAACGATGACGCTGCTTACAAAGCCTCTTTTATCGAAGAAATTCGACAGCTTCTTGGTCGACTAACAGGAATTACTGATACTATGATGGATATTTATTTTGAGCAATAAATCCCCACAAAGTAAAAAGATATCAACCGATGCAAACTGTGAAGTTGAATTGACAATTTTCTTAACTGAAAAAATGACAATAGTTTCATATTGTAAGTTTTTATGTTTCTAAGCCTTTGTTGTGTTCCGTTAACTGTATTTTATTTAATCAGTTTTCCTGTAATTCCAATGGAAATGACAAACATTTATTTATATTTATTTCAGGAGCTCATCCTGTATAGTTAATTTTTTTATTCAGGTAGAAATAATCCATCCTGAGTTGAGAACCGAACTCTAGAAGTTTGAACTTTAGTGTACAGGCAGAAAGAAAATCTTGACCTCCTTTGCTCGGCTTGTTTGAAAACTAATTAAAATCACCATACTTGGCGTTTCACTCAAAAACTTAGATCGGTAAGATGCTCTACTTTTTAGTTATTATATAGAAAAATATTCACACTGAAAACATGTAATTTCTTGCAGTTCTAGGTTGTTGATAATTGTAGAAATGATGTTTTAGAAAGAACTCTTTGTGTTGTAAAAGACTGCTTATTGTATTTGGGCGAAATAAACTCCCAAAAATACTAAAGGTATAGTTAAACATAGATAAATTAATTATTTGTGTTGTGTAAACTCGATAGTGAGATGAACACAAAACTTCACTGATGACCATGACAATAAAAGTTTGTTAAAAGTGATATATGAGAATATTTTGTCGTTTATGACGGGTGACTGATCAATGTTCGTGCACTTCTTGCATGAATTTCCGTTTCCTGCAGACATTAAAATATTGTCCTTATTGAAATAACTCGCAAATTAACACTACCTTCACAAACAAAAAAACAAATAAATCATTAATTTTTGTTTATTTTCGTTTGTTCAATATTTTTAACCTTACATTTTATAGAATTGTTTTACTTTGCAGTTAAAGTGACATATTTTGTTTGCATTCAATTCTGTACTTGAATTTATACAATTCGATTTCTTTCGAAATTACAATGCACTCATTTGTAAAATGACAAACAAAAAATAAATAATGAATGCAGATACTGAGCGATGAGATCACAGACGTTCATCGAACTCTTAGTTCAATAAAAAGAAATTTGCTGATGACTATATATGGCAAGCTTTACCATGGTCATACTGTACAACAAATAATAGAATATTGTCTGTGAAATTTTACATCAAACCAATGTTTCGGCGAACAAATTCAAATACGTTTAAGTCAGATTCTTCTGCACCTGCTCGATTGCCTCATCCAATGATCTTACGGACTTGGAAATTCTGACCCAATCAGATGCCAGCCGCCGATTTGTCATATTATGCATGAAATCTAGGTGGGTCGTTAGCGAAGCTTTTTTGTCTGGAAAAATATTCTACTTCTAGTAGTGTTCCCGAAATCTTATGCCGGTAAAATAAAGTAACTTGTTTGTGAAAATCACAACGACACCAGGAGCTTTTGGTCTCGACTGTTAAGGTAAGCATTTTAAACCGACGAATACTGTATATCCTTGTTAATATTACTGTAACGCTGGTTTGTATGTAACCAATTTCATAGCTCTCTTCCTTAGCATCTTGTATGGTATTAAACTTTGAAATGAAAGACCGAAAATTAAAACTTCTTCAATCCTCCTCATTCGTGGTATTGATCATGACTACAAACACAAATACCAACAAATGACATTTTACACATTTTTAAATTCAAGTTTTCAATTTTCGCTTTAGTTTATACATGCAACGATCGCAAATCTTTTGCTAGATATGCTAATTAAAATCAGCTGTTCTCGAAACACTCAAAGAGCATGCCCGAAACATTCATCTTACCCATACCACAATGCAGTTTCAATATTCCCGACCCCAGTCAACGCTTCCGAATCCGTAGTGATGGACAATAGAGAAGAGCTCTGGGTTCGAGAATGCAGTTTCAACTGCAATCTCCGTACTGTCCAGAGGCGGCGATCCGTTTGGTCAGCACCAGGGTATTGAAAGCTCTGAGGACGACATCGATTTACTTTTGTCAGTTTGCTCATGTTTTACTAATGTATTTATTCTCACCTTGTTTGGGAATGCGCGGAAGAACTCAAGGAACCTTTTGGCTATAAACTTTGGCATGAAATGCGCTTTACTTCGACTTTGCAAACTTTGAATACGGTCCAGTTTTTTAATACAATCGTGAGAAATGCTCGGACCGGACAGTCACTCCCTCTGCTTAGCCTTTCTAAATTTTGAGTTGTTTTTGAACTCTCAAAGGTTCTTGTATCGGTCACCTAAGCCGCGAGTACTGATGGTTCTGTCTTTTTTACAGGAATGTCGAAAGAAGCGATAAACGAGAATAAAGAACTTACGACCCGCGTCGAGAAGTTATCGATAACTTCAATCAACAAAAACACCAAGCTGTTCAAGTCACAAATAAGAGAACTGGAAAAGCAATATGATACAATGCAGCAACAACTAGACGACCTGCATTTTATTCTGGATGTTGTCTTGAAATGGGACGAGGACTTCAAAAAAGTGGTGCGATTCAGCCAGGGCGTGCCTCATACGAGGAACACAAAGGAAATATGTGCCAATATCAAAACAGCCATGATACCGAGCAGCGAGTTTGACCGAACCGTTCAGATTTTGGTCAAGGAAGGGGTACCTTGCTTCAATCGAGCCACTTCGCTCTTGGAAAAGCTAAAGTCGCGCCTCGACGAGAGATCGCCAAATGCGAAGTTCTCCGAGGAGATTCGCCAACTTCTCGGGGAATTGATTGGAACTTTGAGCACGATTATGAACTTCTTTTATGATCAAGAATCTTAGACTGTTGTCATGGTGATTAGGATCCATAAATATCCCTGTTTTAAAGATTATTTTGTATTAGTTAAAGAAATGAATACTGTAACAAAAATGACCGGTTCGGAACTGTAAAAGGTCAGTTGAATTAGCTAAAAGGATGAGGACAAAGTTAACGTTAAATAACGCCGTTATTCAAAACGATTGCGAAAATAAAGAATTAAAACGTAATTACTTGATGCACGCTGACAACGCTTGCAACGCCGACTACTGGCGCTCCCGTCCATCCACACTGACTTGCCTGTCCAAATTAAATGGCTGGCATCACGTCACCATTTTCAGCTAAATGGGGCAAAGGTTATTCTGAAAATCACTATCAGCAATCGCAGTCACGCGATCACGGAAGTGTTTCGATTGAGACTATTGTTAAGACTCCTCGCCCACTAATAGGAAGCCCCCACTCCTTTTCAGGTGGAAGATAGTTATTAAGCCCCCCCTCAATCTAACTCCCCCCCGGAAAGTCTCCCCTCTCCTCGACTGCCCCCTTGCCGTCTTATAACTGCTTATAGGCTCTTTAAAATTAATTACTTGTGAAGACCACCCACTTTTTGGGGAGACAGCTTTGAAATTTTTCCAGTAGTAAGTGACCACTTGACATATGTTCTGATCTTAATGTTCGCAATGTTTTTACGACGCTACTCAGAGTATACGAATACCTTTTAGAGACAACACGGACCTTAGCTGCAAGTAGTAAATTCTCCTTAAAAAGGAAATATAATGGGCACTCTACCCGGAAAAAGACCCCTGTGGTTCGATTGCAAGTCGTAGCCTGTGTTGTAGGCGAACACCCTCCGGAGGGGACCACTGAATCGTCGCACTTTAGGTGCAGTTGGTCGCTTAAGGAAGGTTCGACTGTAGGTTACTATATTGTTTGATGTTAAACCCTACTTTAGACACTTAAAAAAAGTATCTACTGTTTTCAGAATTAACTCCCTCTCATATTGTAGATTCTCACTGTGAGCATGTAGGCGGAAAACATTGCAAAAAATTGCATAAAGGTGGATGACAGTACCAGTCCACGCCTTGAGATAAAGAGGAGGGGGGGGGGCGGTCATCCAGACCCTTAGATAAAGGGGGGCCCGGTCCCAAAAAATTTTTTTCGGCCTTTCGGGCCATAGTTTGGTCTAAAAATAAGGGGGAGCGGGCCCCCCGGACCCCTCCCCTGGATCCGCCACTAGATGAGAAACAATCTTTGAAAGACTAAATGATCTCTCTTTAAAAAGGTCTTCATTTTTGAGAGTTTTTGCCCCTATTTTCCTGTACAAGAAGAAGGGAGTGCACTGAAATAACGCAGCTATGAAAAACAACTCTCTCTTTCAACCAGGCCAGTATCACTTTGCATGATATGATCTCTATCTATCAATCCAGCGAATAAAAATTATAGCCATAAAAAAGGGCCTGTTTTAAACACCTGTTAACGTAGTGCTTTGTTCACTGGTTGCCATCAAAATATAAAGAGCGACAAAGGTGTTCCGAAACGCAGCTGTAGTAGCAACAAGCGTGACTTGATCTGACTAACAAATATGTTTCTTGCATTTGAATAAAATTGTTATCTTTACTGATTTGTGTTAATCCCCTATAATTATTGCATATTTCGCAGAACATAAGTCAAGTCCACAAGAATAAACTGGATAATGACTCAAAACCGGACTAGAGATAGGCTTAAACGAGGATAAGCAAAAAATTCTAATTAGCTTTTATTATTTTACATTTTACAAGTACATCTGCTGCGGACGTTTGTTCACCAGACAAAAGACTTAATTCTCACTATATTTGTCTACTTGACCGAGAAACAATATTTAATTGATTACATTTTGATATTTTTTACACCTGAAACGTAAAAAATCTTCCTGAAGTACTGGTGGTAGAGGTAGAACGAGCTGTCGTGACTTTATCAAGTTCAACTGGCTAGCGTAACTGTCAAAATAGCGCGTGGATCCTTCCGCCGCCGCCAGTGTCTGTTTATCTTTGACACTAATCATAATTTGTCGCGGGTTCAATGAACAGGAACGAGCACAGACGAAGAAATGGAGATGAACTATCATTTGCTCTTTAAAATTCTGCTTGTTGGAGATGTAGAAGTGGGAAGATCTGCTCTACCACACTCCACAGCGTCTGAGACTCCCACTTCGACGCCAAATATTGGAGTTGAATTCCTGAAAAAGACCTTAGAAATCGGTGAGTACAAAAGATGGAGCTGCGACACAATTCGTGTCTTTATAATGCCTTTGATAATGATTTACAAACAACTCGGCAATTCAGGCAACTACTTTTGCTCTACTTGTAGTAGTTTTATTTGTATTTTTATCAGTTGGAACGACGAATTGCCCGGTTATGAGGAAACGGGAGTACAATAAAACAACAGTTGTTAATCAGACGGGCGGGAAGTTGGTTCGATAGCGGATGTGTTAGCGTTGCGTGTTTAGTTTACATGTAAAGATTAGTGACACCTCATGCATTTCTGGCATTTCTGAGTTCGCTTTTACAATCTCCAGAAAGAAAGAAAATCAAACTACAAATATGGAACATAACAGGTCAAGAAAGGTAAGTCTACCAAATGTTTTATTTCCTATGGGTTTCCTATGAATTATATATCGCTGAACATCTAGCCAACGAGCTCGAGGGTGGACTGGGGCAAGAGTGGATGAACTAGATTGCGCAATGCTTATTTTTAACACAGGTCACCCAAGGTCAGTTTAAGAAAACGAACGTGACTCTGGCGTCATAATCATGTCATTTCTTTATGATGATGTCATCATCATCATCATCATCATCATCAGCATCACATCCTTTATTTAAAAACGATAAGAATTCAAAATTAATTGATGCACCCTGTCAGGTCGAGTCGTGCGATAAACAGATCTGAGTAAAAGTTAAAATTAGATCACTGACAATACAAAATTATAAACAATTGCCCTAAGAATGATATTGGTTAAGAAATTAAGAGGAGGCACAGAAAAAAATCTTCTTAAGGCACTTAACGTAAATTGATCCCGTCATTTTTAACACGCGAGTTCCGGCTTCTTTTATAGTTTTCTTTGCCTGTTACAGCTTAGTTTCTATTCTGAGAAATTCTCAACTTGAATCTGACGTTTGCCGTAAACGTGACTCTTAGTCTCTCTATTACTACGGGCTCCACTCTCCCGTAAATATAACTCAAAAATACTTTTTAAATTTAGCTCCCAGGCCTTGACTCCTAGTTACTACCACGGCACACTCGGCTTTATCCTCGTGTATGACATCACAGATGACGCATCTTTTAACCGCATCGGTAATTGGTTAAGCATCATCGAACAGAACGCCAGTGAAAAAGACTTTCAAAAACTACTGTTTGCAAACAAGTCGCGCTGCTGGTGCGAGGCGTTAAGAACAGTCACTACGGAGAGAGGAGAACTATATGCTCGAGAACATGGAATGAGATTTTTTGAGTCAGATAACCTGGATCAGGCCATAAGTTTGATAACACAAGACATTTTAAAGAAAGATCAAGAACAGCCCGCAATGAAACTGCTCTGTGACATTAATAAATAATTAATGACATTTTGAAATGTAGACTACGAGCAGTCCCCCATTCATTTTTCTCTCTCTCCGCCGCGTGTCGCCTTTTCTCGCGTGGGGTCATTTTCCCGCGCGCTCGCGTTTCGCTCGCTCTACTATCCCCGAGGGAAAATGGGGGACTACTCGTAGTCTATTTGAAATGCAACGGATAGGTAGTGGTACCAGGTAAAAGGAAGATCTATGTATCTATCAAAAACTATATAAAGTAACTTAAAGGTGTTTTTATTTAACATCAGCGGCTCCTCATACTAGATATTAAAACAATTGTTAAAAAGACTTCTACAGTGGAACCTCGATACAACGAAGGGCCAAGAGACTGATGAAATGTATTCGCTATAAGGAGGTTCTTTTCCATATATTTTACTATTACTGGGGTTAGCTAAGGAATATTTAACAATTATTCCTCGAGCCCGAATGGACTCTGGGTCATCTATTCAGCTGCCATTGTTTTGGTTTTCAAAGCCGGCGCTTTTCGCTACTAGCGGGCTATAACATATAGTCTAATCAATAGTCCAATCAGAAGCGCTACCCAAATCTGGGTGGTGATACGTCGTTAGTATGGAATTTCTGCGCTCGTTTCTCAGACATCATTTGCGGGGAAACCATTAGTGGCGTAGTGAAATGCCGGCTGTTCTCTCAAGCTATTTATTTTAAACATTGTTTGCCGGTGCAATTTTATGTGTGATATCATGAAGATGAATTCATTCTTTTATCTAAATATACTGATGCATCAGTCAATGAAATCCAGGCCCCCGAACCCCGGAAAAAAGCAGGGTTTAAACACGTCCAAAGCCGGGATTTGACGTACGAGTGACAACGCTAAATTTGGCCCTAAGAAGCGGAGCAATTAACAAAATGTGCGTCTGTTTACAGATGTTACTGAACTTATGTAGCAATCACAATATTATGTAGATGGAGAATGTCGCAATAAAAATTGTTTTAAGGGAGAGGCGGAAATGACGTACAACACAAAAACTGGAAAGGAAAAATACTAAGGATACGGATTACAATAATTACGTCTGTTTAATCGGCGCCATCATTCTCGTCCTCAGAGCTGTCACCCTTTTGAGTGCCACTGTTCAAGAGGACTAGCTGGTTTTTGAACAGCAAGTCTGCGATTGGCTTTCTGCGCAGCCCAAGAAATGTGAGCAATTACTGTTGCTAACATGCTCGACCCCAGAGCTCTTCTCTATTGCGCAAGCATGCGCATCCATGAGATCCGAAGGCTCGGGTGACGAGATTGCGTTACTAAACAGTTACAATCTCATTCCCAACGCGGACTTTGGAGACGAGATTGTAACAGTTACAAACATGACAGCTACTGCGCTGGCGCGTCGTCCTTCAACCAACCAGGGCTATCGATCCGTGGCGCTGGTCAAAAGAATTTCAGCTCTGGGGACAAGAATGGGCACTGTAGTGAACAACAGACCGTAGCCCGCATGCGCATAGCGGGCCGGTTATCTGGGGTGTGTTCTTCACTTGTCATTCGTAAAGTAAACCATGCAGCCGCGCGAAAGCTGAAAAGGGGTCGAACACCCCTCCCCAATTGTTTTCTCTTTTTTACCCCTTACTTTACGAAACAAGAGCGCAGAGAAAAACGCACAAAAAAGTCGCCTGATTGGCGGGCTAAACAGAGCTCGTCACTGGGAACGTGGATTCATCATAAAGGAATACTACCCTCTAGATTGAGCTGGTCAATAAATCTAAAAGCTACACGCTAGTTATAAAAATGTATAACCCGCGAAACAGTACACTTGTTACTATATATACCTCATCTCTTAAATGATTTTAAATAAAAACACGGGCCACAAGAGTTCCAATCCTGTGACTTTTAATTTGAATACATACATAATTAAAGCTTTTGGTTCTTGTAGAGTTAAGCGCCATTCACACCAAAGCTTAAACATGTTTAAAAGCTGTTGAGTTAAACACAGTTTAAAATTGGTTTCGTTTAAATGCTGATTACGTTGTTCTTTAGTGATGGCAAAAGTAGTACAATTATGTAACATGTAACAGTTAATTTGAATTCTGTGTAAAAGACTGTGTTCTAGTTTTGACAGTTTTTCGTCACTGAATTTCTTTTTTTTCTTTTCAAGCCCTGTTTAAATTGGTGTGAATTGAGAATTAGCCGGACGCCTTACTTTCAAACTGAATATTTTGTAATTTTTTCTAACAATTATTTCAAGATTTTACCATCATTGCAGCAGTTGTAGTTTTCTTGTCGAACAATTGTTGTAAAGTGCGATTGGGCTTAAAAGGAAACGGCGTTAGTAAATATCGTATTATTATGATTATTCTCTTAAGAATAAAAATCACAGCGAAGATTTTTGTGCAACGTTTCGACGTTGCTATGACATTATCACGGGATAAGACATATACAATATTTAGGGCTCCCACTAAATTTTTCTGGGGGTCGTTTTCAAAGTATTGATTGGCTTTGGCAAGAGAAGATAAAGGGGACAGAGAAGGCACCTCCCATAACACCCTATTCCATAGGTAATTCGTCTCGAGTTATTTTTAGAATTGGGATAAAGTTACCTCGCGCGCTGCGTGGATGTTTCGTGGAGGTTTCGCATGACTAAACGCCGTGCAAAACATGTCGGGCGAAAGGCAATGAAAGCGTGAAGAGATCGAGAGCATTTCTGAATATTGAGGCGAAATGAGCCGGCGCTCACCTGGGAAAACCCGTGAAATCAGTTTAACTCGAAGTTGTCGTAAACTCAGTGCTTTAATAAAATGAGAAATTTTGCCGGTCTATTGAAACCGGTCGTTTGTATAATAAAGCAAGTAGGACGCCAAGTGTTATTTTTGTTGAATAATAAAAGACTAATAAAAGAATAAATATCAAACCAGAAATTGCTCTCTTCAAACTGTAAATTATAAATGATCCTGAGAGAATATTCAGTCTGTTAAGGATTTCCCTGCTGTACTGTTAGCTCTATACAAGAGAGGAAAGGCGATCCTTTTTTAATTTCCGTTTCGCTGACACAGCTTTAGCAGAAATCTCTCTTTAGTAGTTTTCGTTGACAAAACGAATAGCAATATCGCTCTCCGCGTCTTGCGCCATATTTTTCGGCGTCAATTCGTGAAGGACGCGTGGCTCTGAGCGTGGGTCATCCACGCGGAACACATTCGCGCTATGCGATTGGCTGTTGTCTAATCCCCCTCGGGATCTGTGGTCTTAAAAATAACTCGAGACGAATTAGCTATGGAGTAGGGTGTGTACGCGGGATGCCTTCTCTGTTCCCATTATCCTCTCTCAGGAGCAATGCATGCAGTAACGGGCGTGAATTGAAATTGGATGTAACAGCCGTAAATAGTAAAACACGACTGTAGATAAAGTGTGTGGTAAACTTCGCAATTGGGTGAAGGGTCACTTTCACAATATGCAAAATTTATAGGGAGTCATTTCTAAAAAAAACTAGCATGAAATGAATTGGGGATCGCCCTGAAAATCATGGTAAATTATTGTAATTATTTATTTGGGGGGTAGGAGTAAAGTTTTGATACACCACACTTTTCTGAAACCACCCCCTCCGCTAAGACGTAATAAACGCTCGGTCCATAATTTTGCGGACATTTCAAATTTCGAAAGCGCTAGAACCGACATGAAAAAAAATAGATTTATAATAATCGGAAAATGCGATATCGCAAAGTGTGGCCCACCTAAGATTAATAAAAAGTAAAAAAAATGAAAAGGAACCCGAATAGCAAATCTTAATTACAATGATTAATTACAATGTTTATGCTCAAGTTCCATCTTATATGTCAGTTGTAACAAGGCATTTTTCGCCTTTTGTTGCCACAAGTTCTTTCTCGCCATCTAAAAATGGAGGCGTCTCTGGCTAGGGCTTTGAAGTATGCAACTTGTTTCGCCTAAATTAATATCATCTATAACTTTGGTTTTAAAATTCAACCTCTCGAACAAATTTGTTTTGCAAGTCGAAAGAAAATTTCTTGAATGCCACGTACACCCAAAATTAGCTTTCTTAACGCACTTAATTGCATATGCCTGAATTCAAAATATATCCAAGTAAGGCCATCCTCTTTTTTTTCTCCGTTTACCGTCGTCCGAGCAACCCAAATTTTATGGCATTTTCCCCCCAAAAAAGTAACGACGTAGTTACACCATTTTTCAATTGAAATAATTCTTTTAATCTGAAAAATGAGCATATTAACGGCGTAGAGAAAAACGGGAACAAAAACATGAACATTTTTTAAGGTATATTGTACATTTTGTTAATCTAAATATGTGAATGTTAACTTTTAATGTCGTCCTGGGTTACCTGGCCTACTATTCCGAGACTTCTTGTGATTTTTTTTTAGTTTTTTTTTTTTTCAATCCGACCGACCGACCCAATATCAGGAAACGCATTCCACGTTAAACGAAGAAAAAAAAGGGGATGGCCTAACCATAAAAAAAAATAATAATAAAAGTAAAAAAAATTACAGAACAAAATTCACCTACGTATGCGTTACCTGAATTTCCCAACCTTCACTAACATCAGGAAAACGCGAAATCAAGCTTAAGAAGGCAAACAGATCAATAAACACTCCGAAAGTTTCGCTTGTATTGAAACTTTGTTTTTCTCCCAAAATTACATCACAAAGTAAAACCGGCCGGACCAAGGACCACATACTGTACATTGAACAAAGTGAGCGAGTTGGGATAATCGCGCTGAAATTTTAAAGAACGCGCTAAAAGCCACTATTTAAGTGACTTTTTCGCCGTCGTCGCATTAAACTCCCTATTTTGAGCGGATGTACGTCAAACTCTGACATGCGCACTGGGCAGTGACGGAGAACAATGCCTCAAAAATATGTCACTCGCCTCAGGCCAAAAATGTCACGGCCTAAGATATAAATTTTCCATTTCTAAAAATCTGTAAAAAATTCAGATTAAGCTAAAATCGAAAAAAAAATTGCGGCATCGTTTTCTACAACTTTTCTATTTTTAGTCTAGTCAAAAACTAATTTGGGGTGATGTGCACTTGAAATTTGGACTCGTCAAAATGCTTCTAGGGCCTACTAAATTACTATGCGATCGGCCTTGAATGATTATATATTGTTTTAAGTTGCCAAGCGGTAGAATGAGTTTATTGTTTTGCTAACAAGTTTTTCCAAAATCCAGTTATATATATAATTGCGCATTCTGCAAAACATTCGCTGATTTTTATTTTTAACAAGGGCATCAGTGACTTAACTTAAAAATTACTGCGTTATTTGATTATTTTTGCCCTTGAGAAGGAACGTTCCATGAAGGTACAAACCAGCTGCCTAGGAGATAGTTTTATTTATTTATTATGACACTATTATAACGTATTTATTTTACCCTTTTGGCTTCTTTACGTCAGTTACGGACAAAATGAGAGCGCGACCTTAAAGAGTAGCATTTGTTTTATTGTTGGTTCCCGTCGTATTGTT